GAGCACAAAGTTACACAATGGGCTATCTCTGCTCTGACCACCACGGGTATCGAAACCAGGTTTCTAGCGTTGTAAGTCCGCAGACATACCGCTGTGCCACTGGGGGGGGGGGGCATTGGCACAGCGGCATGTCTGCGGACTTATGATACTGCTAGAAACCGGGTTTCGATACTCGTGGTTGGCAGAGCACAGATAGCCCATTGTGTAGCTTTGTGCTTAACTTCTAAAAACAAAACAAACAAACACATCCTAACGTAGCTATGGACCATTACGATCTTAAAACTACACCTTTTACACCTATGTTTCATTAAAATTACAATAAAAAAAAACACTTATTAACATCTGAAGAGTAGCGTTCTCTTTTTTTTTTTCTCGTTTAATTGTGTTTCTCTAGCACTGATTTAATGAATCTATCACATACAGCACGCGGAACGAAGACGTAATATATTTGGCAGTTTTATCAGTTCTTACCTGCCAGCTGGGGTCAGCGTTTCTGTAATACAGGAAGTTCTCTCGTATCCACTTATAAATCGAAGACAGGGTCATCTTGTTTTTATTAGCCTTCATTGCCATGCATATAAGAGTGGCGTAAGAAAATGGAGGCTTGAGGGATCCATTCGTCTTGTAATCAATGTCCTCGATAGATTTCTCGCATCTTTCTTCGGGACCGAATTTATCATCATCTTTGAGGAAAAACTGAGGCAGGGGACTAGCGGGAGGCGTAGGAGGAGTAGGGGCTCCTAGCTTGGTCATAATATTAAGATTCTGTAACCAATTTAAACTGGTCAGTCCATCATCTACATAAGAACTTCCTTCGGGTACAGCGTCATCCGGGTTCTTAGCTCTCCAGTTCTCTTGGATTCGTAAGGCCACTTCGTCCTTGGACAAAGTCGTTGTAGTTGGATCCATGGTAGTGGACAGGCACTAAGACAGGGCACTTGGACGGACGGATGAAGTCATGTCAGGAAAAAGTACTGCACTGTAAGACAAAATAACTGTCAATCGTACATTAAACACAAGAAACTGACTAGACGAAAATCAAAAGTCTGATACAAAAGTTTGTTCTGTTTATCAATATATAATGGTTTCGTATATTTAAAGAAATATTGTAAGCTGTGTAAACCTCTGTTTCCAAAAATAAACATTTAAGTGTTATTCATTTTCACCAAAAAAAAGGAAAAAAAGAACACAGATTTGTTATCAGTCTGATGGTGACAGGATACTGATTTATTATCAGTCTGATGATGACAGGATACTGATTTATTATAAGTCTGATGATGACAGGATACTGATTTGTTATCAGTCTGATGATGACAGGATACTGATTTATTATCAGTCTGATGATGACAGGATACTGATTTATTATGAGTCTGATGATGACAGGATACTGATTTATTATGAGTCTGATGATGACAGGATACTGATTTATTATCAGTCTGATGATGACAGGATACTGATTTATTATCAGTCTGATGATGACAGGATACTGATTTATTATCAGTCTGATGATGACAGGATACTAATTTATTTTTATCTCCGTAGTTAAAACTGGACTTTGAACATTGTACATGTTGTCAGAGGTATATCAACACGGAGTTTGAACGTTGTACATGTTGTCAGAGGTATATCAACACGGAGTTTGAACGTTGTACATGTTGTCAGAGGTATATCAACACGGAGTTTGAACGTTGTACATGTTGTCAGAGGTATATCGACGCGGAGTTTGAACGTTGTACATGTTGTCAGAGGTATATCGACGCGGAGTTTGAACGTTGTACATGTTGTCAGAGGTACATCAACACGGAGTTTGAACGTTGTACATGTTGTCAGAAGTATATCAACACGGAGTTTGAACGTTGTGCATGTTGTAAGAGGTATGGGCCAAATAGATCTTTACAGTTGAAATATAATCATTCAAAATTTTGAGCTACTGATCAAAGAGATGGCAGTCGGTCAACTGCACTCGCCGTCATAACTTCTCTGTCCGGCTTTAAACCAAATATAGGATTAAACTTATAATTCAACCACAACTGAAAGTGTAGAGCGTGTTCAGCGTAAACCTTGGACCTTACGATCCGCAGCCCAGCATGTTAACCACCAGGACTACGGCAATCTTGATCTCTAAAGGATTTAAGAAACAAAATAAATTTACGAAGATTTTGTGATTACTAAAATGACGCAAAAACTAAGTAAATAAAAAAAAAAGAACCAAATGAGACATCAAAATGGCGATGAAAAGAGAGGATGAAGATGGAGATGAGATCGAAGGGAACCAGCAGAGGAGGAAACTTTGAGGACAGAAAACCAAGAAATCAGTACTGACTTCAACAGAATATAGATGGCACCCCGGTATGTGTGCGGACTTACAACGTTAGAATCCGGGTATCGATACCGGTGGTGGGCAGAGCACAAACAGCCCATTCTGTAACTTTGTGCTTAATTACAAACAAACAAACTCGTAGAATCATTGATTTTCAAGAGACGGTGATGACTCAATTAGCATGTTGAGCAATTCATATACTTGTGGTAAAATCATATTAAACAAGCAATAATATGATTAAAGCATATAGGATCTAGATTCCACAGTTTCTGTGACTTTGTTTCCGATGATTCATGGTTTGCTACCCATTGCTGCAAAAAAGCTACATCTTTTGCCCCCGTTGGTGCGATATCCATGCGACAATAAATTCCGATTATGTGATGAGATAAGAATAGCCCAAGAGTTGGCGGTAGGTGATATTTACCAGTTGCCTCCTCTCTAGTCTATAAGTTCAAAATTAAGGGCTGTTTTTTTTGCGAGAAATTTCAAACAAACGAACAAACTTATAATGTATGTGAAACAGAGCAGTCCGTTAGAGGGTTAATTCTCTTTATGCGAGGGTAGTCTTATTGTACCTATGAAAGAAAATAATATCTATTCTAACTCTGTGCTTTCGCGTAGACAGTAGGTCTACCTATCTGACTGACATTTCGTTTGGGTGGAAGATATTTAGAAACATATTGTATTCGCATGCGTGGACACAATCGTGAGCTGGCGCTCTGGACATATGTACTCCGAGACTTAACTGAACGTGACTCACAAATTTTGAGTCACCGATGTGTTATAAAATGTACATCTTCAAGTTAAGTTGCTGTTAAGTTTTAGACATATCATTACAAACATATCTTTAACTAAACCATACACACAATATGAGTATAAAACATATAGGAACAAAATGCACGAATATTATTTTTTCAACCAAGTAGGCGTGCGATTAGTATTAGGCCTTTTGCGCCTAATGTGATGAAACTCTGCTTGTTTCATCACATACTTAACTTTACTTGCCTCATCACATGCTTAACTCTGCTTGCCTCATCACATGCTTAACTCTGCTTGCCTCATCACATACTTAACTCTGCTTCTCTCACCACATATTTAACTCTGCTTCTCTCACCACATATTTAACTCTGCTTACCTCATCACTTACTTAACTCTGCTTCTATCACCACATACTTAACTCTACTTGCCTCATCACATACTTAACTCTGCTTGCCTCATTACATACTTAACTCTGCTTGCCTCATTACATACTTAACTCTGCTTGCCTCATCACATACTTAACTCTACTTGCCTCATCACATACTTAACTCTGCTTCTCTCAACACATATTTAACTCTGCTTGCCTCATCACATACTTAACTCTGCTTCTCTCATTACATACTTAACTCTGCTTACCTCATCACATACTTAACTCTGCTTCTCTCATCACATACTTAACTCTGCTTGCCTCATTACATACTTAAATGGCCCGGCATGGCCAGGCGGTTAGGGAGCTCGACTCGCAATCTGAGGGTCGCCGGTTCAAATCCCCGTCCCACCAAACATGCTCGCCCTTCAGCCGTGGGGCGTTATAATGTGACGGTCAATCCCACCATTCGTTGGTAAAAGAGTAGCCCAAGAGTTGGTGGTGGGTGGTGATGGCTAGTTGCCTTCCCTCTAGTCTCACACTGCTAAATTAGGGACGGCTAGTGCAGATAGCCCTCGTGTAGCTTTGCGCGAAATTCAAAACAAACAAACAAACAATACATACTTAACTCTGCTTCTCTCACCACATATTTAACTCAGCTTGTCTCACCACATACTTAACTCTGCGTGCCTCATTACATACTTAACTCTACTGGCCTCACCACATACTTAACTCTGCATGCCTCATTACATACTTAACTCTACGTGCCTCACCACATATTTAACTCAGCTTGTCTCACCACATACTTAACTCTGCATGCCTCATTACATACTTAACTCTACGTGCCTCACCACATACTTAACTCTGCATGCCTAATTACATACTTAAGTCTACTTGCCTCACCACATATTTAACTCAGCTTGTCTCACCACATACTTAACTCTGCGTGCCTCATTACATACTTAACTCTACTTGCCTCACCACATATTTAACTCAGCTTGTCTCATTACATACTTAAGTCTACTTGTTTCACTACGAAGGTACCACACCGCATAAACCCATTTAATGATAATCGAAGTTAGTAATAAAAGTAATGTCAATCACTATCCCCCAAACCTCCCCCTCAATTCGTTCTTATCCAAATAAGGCATCTGATTATCAGTTATGTAATCTGATTTTTAACTGACTGTTAACCATTTTATACAAAGTGGTCTCACAGAACTTATGAATTTGAATCTCATGCAAAAAAGTACTCGAGGGCTTTCTCCTCTAGCCATCCCTAAATTTGCAGTGATAGTCAACACTACACACCGCCAACTCTTGGGCTACTCTTTTATCAACGAATAGTGGTATTGACCGTCTCAGAAGTCTAGTCACTATGTGTCTCTGTAGTTTCTTAATTAACCTCTAACGTGTCAGAAGTTTAGTCACTATGTGTCTCTGTAATTTCTTAATTAATCTCTAACGTGTCAGAAGTCTAGTCACTATGTGTCTCTGTAGTTTCTTAATTAACCTCTAACGTGTCAGAAGTTTAGTCACTATGTGTCTCTGTAGTTTCTTAACTAACCTTTACGTAAATACACTTTTAAGTCTTCTTCTTTGCCAGCAAGATACAATACAGAAAACATGATATCTATGTATGTGTCATAATCTATAAAAGGACAAGATCCTGTAGCAGAGTTTTGGCTGTCCTCAAAGAACGGCGCATCTTACTATGTAAATGCGCATGCACGCGCACTTCATTTCAACGGACGTAAACAAAAGGTGGATGTAAATGTACTTTAGAACAACATATTAAAAGCTAATCAAAATCTTTAAAAGGTCTAACGTTACGTCGTAGAATAACATTATAAGTTTTTTTACTGATAGTATTAAGTAGGGTAAAGTTTAACCCTAACTAAATTAAAGCAAAAATCATACATAAGTTACACTGCTAATTTATCTCTTTATCAAATATAGGCTTAACTAATGTTAGGCCTAAGACAAGTGGACCTATAGATTTCGGTGTCTGCGATTAGAATTCTATGTATTATTCTAGAAATCCTGTATTTAAAGAAGTACTGTTGGAATGAAGATGCTAATTTGGCCGTTGGAGTAATAGAAATTTCCTTAATCCCTTTAAGTGAAACAAAATCCAGTGTTTGGTTTTTCAACCATTATAGTTCATTCCTTAAGACGAAAGATAGTATAAGTAATTTGTTTGCCTCTGTTTAATTTCGTTCAATACTACTTGCTGACTATCTGCTTTAACCATCTCTAATCTAGAAGCAATAGACGAGATGGAAAGCAGTTAGTCAACATTACCCATCGCCAGTTCTGGGGTTACTCTTTACCAACGAAAAGTGAGATTGAAAGTCACGTTGTAAAGCCCTCACGGCTGAAAGGACGAACATGTTCGGTGACGGGATACGAACACTCAACCTACAGATAAGTAGTATTCGAGGAGTTCTGTAAAAAAAAACA